TTCTACCAAAGAAACAAAAGACAAGAATGTGCATCAACCCCTATGCATATATTACCCCAATGTCACCTCAGGAATCCGTGAGTTGAGTGCCAAACACATATCAAGTGAATCAATATGATACCCCATTGTCACCACGAGTATTCATAGCAAGACATACATCAAGTGTTCTCAAATCCATAAAAGTATTCAATCCGGTAAAACAAAATGTCAAAGGGAAAACTCAATTCATCACAACAAGATAGAGAGGGGAAAACACCATATGATCCAACTATATTAACAAAGCCCGTGATACATCAAGATCGTGCCATCTCAAGAACACGAGAGAGAGAGAGAGAGAGATTAAACACATAGCAACTGGTACAAACCATCAGCCCGGGGGTGGACTACTCCCTCCTCATCATGGTGGCCACCGGGATGATGAAAATGGCCTCCGGTGATGATTTCCCCCTTTGGCGAAGTGCTGGAACGGGGTCTAGATTGGTTTTTCGTGGCAACAGAGGCTTGTGGTGGTGGAACTTCTGATCTAGGGTTATTTCTGATGGTTTCTCTATTTATAGGATTTTTTGGCGTCGCTTTCATGCGAAGATGGGCCTCGAGGTGAGCACAACCCACCGGGGCAAGCTAGGCCCCTCTGGTGTGCCCTGGTGGGTTGTTCCCTCCTCGTGGCTCTTCTGGCCCTCCCACGAAGCTTCGGGGGTCTCTTTTGTTCCAAAAAAACGTCAAAAACTCTCAGCTCATTTGTAGAACTTTCATTTCTACACAAAAAACAACACCTTGGTAGTTTTGCTGAAAACAACGTTAGTCCGGGTTAGTTCCATGCAAATCATACCAAAACCATATAAAATTGTTGTAAACATGGCATGGATACTTCATAAATTATAGATACGTTGGAGACGTATCACTACTCCTCCTTCCCTAGCCTAATCATTCCAAATGTCTAGCACAAGGAGAAGAAGGAAAAGCCACCCCCACGGCAACAGTCGCGATTCTTTCTCTCATATATTGACTGTCGACGATGGTCGCTACTCCTTCCCCTGGTGCATTACGAAGGTCTAGCACAAATACAAGAAGGAGAAGTGACCCCCACGACGACAGTCAAAATTCTTCCTTCAAGAACAAAATGAAAGTCACATATATGGAGTAATGAAATAAACAAATGGCCTATGGTTTGTCGGAATGTCATTTAATTCTCTTTTCGGCAAATCCAGGGCACTCGATATTTCCTATATTCTAGCACAAGTCATGTCGAAATTCTCAAAAAAAAATTGGTATGACCTTTGCTAAAAATAAGACATACCGAGCGTCCGGAATTTGCCGGAATGAAAATGAATCGACATTTCGACAAAACATAGGATACTCGAAGGTGTTCCCTGCAAAATCATACACATGTCCAAAGAGACAACCAATGCATGTCCAAATATCATCATACACATGTCTGAGGAGAAAAGGAGGAGGAGGTCGACTTTTAGCTCACTAACTCGGCTGTGGAGGAAGTAGTGGAAGCTCCAGCGACGATCACTCTAGGGAGACACGAGACTACAAAGCCTGCATATTCCAAAGAGTGAAAATTTTAGATCATCAAACCTCATATAGCCTTCTTTGATGACAAAGTGATAATGACATAAAAATAATTAATTTGTCCAATACATCTCTGTACTGAAAAAAATTACCAAAACTTTCTATACCTAAATATTTTTACTAAAAAATTATAAATTTGATACCTAAAAATTTCTCATATAGCATTCCAATACATTTCTATATTGAAAAAGATTTATACCTAAAAATTTTATTACTAAATATCTCTACACCTAATTTTTATTACTAAAAATTTCTATTACTAAATTTTATACCAAAAAAATTCTCATATATCATTCCAATACATTTCTATACCTAAAAATTTCTATTATTACATTATAGAATAAACCTACATTGAAAAACAAAGGGAGGTGGAGGAGGGATGAAGAGAGGGAGGGACGAAGGGAGGGGTGGAAGGGAGGTGGAGGACAGAGGAGGGACGGAGAAGGGAGGAGGAAGGTGGAGGGGGGAGGGAGGGACGGGAAGGGAGAAGGGAGGAGGGAGGTGGAAGGAGGAGGAAGGAGAGAGGAGCTACCTCGATGGAGGAGGAGTAGGAGCGTCGGCGGTGGCGGGCGACGAGCGTGGGTGAGGGCCGATGAGGGGAGAGAGTGGAGAGGGAGAGTGAGGGTGACCCGCAGGAAGAGGATAAGACGGTTTAGCAGCAGCGCATGGCATGGGGCCGCGCTGCTGTTAAACCCATTAGTTGTAGCGCGAGTTGCGAGGCAGCGCTGTTGCTAAGTGGGGACGGGATGTTGGGCCTGGGCTGGCCACATTAACAGCGCAGGTTGTGGACCCGCGTTGCTGCTAAACCCATTACCAGTAGCGCTGGTCGGTGATAGGCGTTGCTAGAGTGGCCAGCACTGGTCAGTGACAAGCGCTGCTATTGTGGCTAGCCCGGGTAGGCACGGTGAGGTCCACATAGTAGTAGCGCCGGTCTGGCAGGCCCGCACTACTGCTACTGCCCACCTGTAGCACCGGTACAAGGGTCACGCTAATGCTAAGTTGCAGTAGCGCTGCCCGTTAACCCCACACTACTGTTAATCTTCTACCTATAAGGTATTTCCTAGTAATGTCGAGTTGTGTTGTGATATTAACGTGGAGTTACTGTTTGTGATCGTGTATGATGCGTGATTGATTAGTATGCGGTTATGAATGGGAGTGTCACACTCACGACTGATGTCTTCCACACACACATGTGTTCAGGAGCAGCACTATGACAGATATGCCATGTTGCAATGATGTGGACCGAAGCAAGCTGGGAGGCACGCAAGCGACGAGAGCGTCGTATATGTTCGTTCTTCTGCCTTGAACATGCCGATTACAAGTGAGGTCTTCTTTTTATTCCTTTCTCTGTTTTCCTTTTCATTCATGTCTCTTTTCTTTCAAGAAATTAAATCACTTGTCTAGATTAGATTAATATTGACACGGCTCATGATAGTAGTAATTCTTGCAGCATGGTCCCGCGAAGTGCTTTCAACACACATGCATTGGATTTTCTATCATCTAATTTTATTTTGACTTTGTGCTCGCTGAAGGACTTGCCCTTTATTATGATCTTGCACCATTGTTTCTCTTCCACGTTTATGTTGCGGCAATTGTTTTTTTTTAATGTTTTCAATTTTTCATAACTCGTATTGTTGATGTTTTTCAACATGAAACATCATCTTGGTGATGCCTCAAATTTTCATGCAAGTATGGAAAGATTTCAGGTTGTGCCCTCTCTTTTCTTTTAATGGGAAGTTGTGCCCTCTTTCAATGCAAGATTGCTATATTGCTGGTATATTTTTATGTGTGATTTACTCGACTCTTCCTATTTTGATGCTTATTTCTTTAACTGGGAATGTAGTATGGAGGACCAAAATGCTTCTTGGGAAAGTACCTGGAGCAAGAACTAAAATGAGTCCCTTATGCTAGGTGTGCAACTCCACTTATATTAAATTACGAGTCTCTCTTCATGACATCTCCAATATTTATCTTTTGGTCCAGTTTTAGTTGCCCGTGATGCTTGGTTTATTTTTGTTTTTTAGTAGTGTATAATTTTTGTTTGTGAACGTTAGGATGATGTATTTTTTCTCCTCCTCTGTGAGTTTATTACTATTTGTCTTATACCTAATGGAATAAATATGAGTTCTTAATTCTTCTTCCACTTGATTATATATGCATCTACCCAGTTGAATGAAATCATGTTCCATCTTCTCAACAATGTCTTGCTTGTGTGAAAATGCTACACATGAGTAACCATGGTTGTGGGGTTTTGGTGTGGCGGTGGCATGTATCAAGAAGACCAAGTGGAGAGAGACCTAGAAGATGGTAAACGTGAGGAGCTGAAAGATGGTGTGGTAATAGAAAAGGGAAGTTGTTGAAAGCTTGAAAGCATTGTATGATTTTCATAAAAGTATTTAAACACATTATTGCATGGGCTTAAAAGTTGAATAAAGAATTTTGTATTTGATATGTAGCTGAAAATGATTCTGGTTTCTCATGCCAGGCAAAGTAAGGCAAATTGTACCAAATTTGAATTATAATGATTAGGCATCCTTCCAATTTTCGTGTTAGTTTTCTTTATATTGTCTTGTTAGCCTTCGTGCCTTACAGTTTGTCCATATAAGTGTAGAAGTACAAAAACATGTAGTGCAATCATGTAAGCGATAGAGGTTTGCAACTGCCAACCCTCTTCCTGATGTGATGCCTCAAGCATTCTTTTCCATCACACCCCTGAAGAAGAGTGATTTAATCGTAAAGAATTTTGACAAAATATCTGATGTCCATGAGGATATTAACAGTTATGTTGACGAAAATACAAAGATGAACCTGGGTGCGCGCGTATCCACGTGAATAGTATATTCATAAAATATACTAGAAAAAATTAAAAATTCTGAAATTTCGCAGTATGAACCTTAGTTGATCATTCTACTCACATGTGAAGTTTCATAATGTATTGACACCCATGGTATTCTTAGTGAAGAAAATATAAATGCGACCATACTCATTAAACAGTGTTTTTTAATATAGCTTCGGTTAGCTTCGACTTTGTCATTTTTGTCCAGATTGCCATAGATGTGATTTCTTCGTGAAACTTTATATGCAAATATACCGGTTCACTATGTATATTAAAAAATAAATATTTTTGATTTTTTTCTAGCTTTTTTTTAATTTAATATTTATAAAAGATGTGTGCGCACCCATGTTCATCAAATCTGCGTCCTTATGTTGAGCACATTTGGTATTGAATCACTACATTATGTATGCCTTGTCGTGGCATTTATCTGGTCCAAAGAAAAATGGTGTGGCTGCAAAACTAGTTACAACAAGACTCTACTTATACTACTCTTTTCGATCATATTGCTTGTCGTCAAATCGTTTGATTCTACTGGTTTCTGCAATTCTGGAACCCAATCAATCTCACGGCCGTCCCAAAGTCTCAACTAGACCCATCGAGCGCGCTTCCTCGCCTGCTCCTCGCCGGGGTAGCCGGCTTCCTCGTCCGCGCTGCGGTACCTGGAGCTGGAGCCCGCGCTCTCGTCGTCGCTGGAGCGGGCAGGCGGCGGAGGGACCGCCGGCTTCATGAAGACCTTGCGGACCACACAGTCCATGTTCGCCTCGGGGCCGGGCCGCGCGCAGCGGAAGGCGGCGCCGCCCTTGTTGAGCCGGTACTCCGCCATCAGCCACGGCGTCCGCGCCCATACCCCGTCGCCGCCGCCCTCGCCGCCCCGCCACGCGACGTAGTACGCGAGGTTGCGCCTGAAGGCGACCGCCTCCCCGCCGGTCCCGCCGCGGTACGCCTTCTCGGGGCCGTACGTGATCCAGCACCCGCCCGGCGCCGGGGCCCTCTCCCCGGCGGGGTGCGCCGCGAAGAAGTAGCCCCACACCTCGCCGTTCTCCCGCCGGTGGCCGCGGCTGAAGGGGAGCGCGTCCGGGGCCGCGGAGAAGACGTCCACGCCCTCCGCCACCAAGCCCGGGGTGAAGTAGCCGCCCAGCGCCTTGGGGGCGAGGTAGTGCTGGATGAGCTCCCGGGCCTTGGGTCTGAACACGTAGCCCAGTGGCAGGTTCGGCACGGGCGGAGGCGCCATTGCCATGACGGGTTGCCCACGGAATCTGCTTAGAAGCCGAGGGGGGAGGTTGGTTGGTTGGATTTGTGGGGAGAAGAAGGTTTCGATCGGTTGGAATGATGTGACGGGAGATTCAGGATTCGGGGGCTGTATTTATAGAGATGTTATCGCGTCATGGCAGGAGAGGTTGTAGAAGCAGAGCACACTGCAAATCATGAACCGGAGATTTCAGATTGACACCAGTTTGGCTTGGCTCGCCAATCCAATTTCCATTTATCAATGGAACGCACAGCTAACGATAATGTTCAGGCTTCAGATCATGCTTAAATCCAGACATACGAATTACTACTGCAGCTTTCGTTTCTACTAACCCGAATTCGCAGCATGCTAACCCAAATCCGCAGCAACATCTTAACCGAAATTCAGGCTTCAGATAATGTTCAGGCTTCAGATCATGCTAACCCAAACTCGCAGCATCTACTAGCGCCTCCCGTGCTACTACTGCAGCTTCTGTTTCTTCTTCTTGTCCTGCCGCTGTGTCAGGTCGCCCTCCGCGCACGCAGCGGCAGCTGGCTGATCGTCCACCTCCATCTCCTCCGCTTCGTCATCCTCGTCCTCGTCCTCATCCTCGTCGTCGCCCTCCTCGTCGCTCAGCGGCTCCTCCACGTCGTTGTACACCTTCCACGCCACCAGGTTCTTGGCGACGGGGTGGAACGCGACGCCGCGGTAGGCCGCGGCGCCCTCGTTGAGGCGGAACTCCTTCATGCGCCACGCCGTCAGCTTGCCGTCCTCGCCGTGGAACGCGAACCGGCACCGGTACCCGAGCACGTCCCCGCCGGCGTCGGCGTACGCCTTCTCCTCGTCGTAGCGCACCCACAGTCCTCCCGGCACGACCCGGGCGTAGCTGCCCGGGCTGCCCGATGCCGCGGCCGCGGGCCGCGTCGTGAAGAAGTGGCCCCAGACCTTGCCGCTGGCGCCCCGGTTGCAGCGGTGGAAGGGGAGCGCCTCCGGGCGGGTGCCGTACACGTCGACGTCGTCGGGGATGACGTCCTTGACCGCGTCGTCGGGGAGGCGGCCGCGGATCGCCTTCGGCGTGAGGTAGGTCCTGATGAGGCAGCGGCCGTTGGGGTCGAAGCGCATGCCTCCGTAGAGCTCCGACATGGACCGCGGCACCGGCGGCCGAGGCAGCGAGGCCTGCTGCTGCTCCCGCTGATTCGCCATGGCGGACGGGTGATTATGAGATCAGGCCAACAGTAGTCGATTTGTTGGTTGTTGCCGGGGGGAGGCCTATTTGTACCAGATTGGAGAAGGCTACTCTGGGCTTTCGGTAGGTCGGTGACTCTGCTGTCTTTTCGAGCTGGGTGTTGGGAGGCGGAAGGATTGTTTGGGTATTCTTCGTTGGATTTGGCTTACCGTCAGATGTTCATTTGTGTTAGTAGTACTAATGTCTTCCAATAATGCTCCCAGTCCTAGTAGTGTTAGTTTATCCTCTTTATTTGGAGCCACAGTATGATTAGAGCCCCTAACCTCTAACTTAAACCAATCACTCAAATTTGCCCCTAATTTTTAGTCGTGCTCAGTTCACCCCTGTTCCGTTTGGTGGTGCTGTACAAATGTGCTTATGTCCCATTTCCGTCTAGTCATAGTCCTTTGACCGTCATGGGAATATTTCGAGGACAATGTTGCCCATCCTTACATGTGGGAGCCAACAAAAACAAAAAAGACAAGACAACATGGGGCTTACAGATGGGACCCACCTAGAAAAAAGCTCTCCCCCTCCCTCTTTCTGTACGTTGTCCGTCGGTGGGTAAAGGTTGGTGCCATGGTGCGTAGCAACTGCTGGGGGGAAGTGCCCTGCGGGTTGAGGTTGATGCCATGATGTGGCCACTGGCGGTTGAGGTAAAGTGTGAGAAGTGTCGGGAAACTTGTGGGTGCTTTAGAGGGCCAAGAAACTCGTCGGCGACTAGCTCCCTTGGCGGCGGCAGGTGGCGCTGGGTAGCATGAGTGAAATAGTAAGCTAACTAAGTAGCAGTATCATTATTAGAAGGTAAGCTTAAGCCGCTTAAAGCCTCCCTAGTAGAATCGCCACTGGTTCCGGTCGAAGTGAGAGAACGTTTCAGTGAGACTCCACCGGTAAGGAGGGGTAAAGGTGTCTAGAGAACGGCTCGTCTGCAGTCAAAGCATTTTGATTGGACAAAAACGACACAAAGGGGTATTTTCATAAGGTCGTTTGACATAACATGGACAAAACTGAGCACAATCAAAAATTAAGTGAATATGTGAGTAGTGGGTTCGAGTTAGAGGCAGAAATGTAAATGTCTGGAAACATAATATATTGGACTCACGCACTTACTAATTCGGGTTAAAAAATTATACATGCATATTAGGAAGTCGTATTACCTATTCCCATCCGCTTCTTTCATCTTCACTTGTTTTTCAAGATTTTTATTAATTTTAATTCTGTCATGATGTGTAAATCATACATTCGATATTGTTCGATCCGTATTACAAGAAAATTTTGATAGATTTCCTATTGTGATTTATACAAGGCAAAAAGGTAACATCATACTTATAAGTTTTTCCTGCCTTGGTGTTGGTTTGGTCAGGTTTGTTAGGATTGTTATAACATCTACGTAGTTCTACAAAATTCTTGTGGTTTTCATTATCCCTTTTTCACATGCATTATCTCTTCCTACAAATATCATAAAAGTACTTGGCCATGGTGGACTAGCACTCTGGCAGGGGTGTGAGAAATGCCCAACATTTGTCTCTTCATCAAGAAGTCCTTGCAGTTAAAAAAGAAAAGTCCTTGCAGCTAAAAAAAAGTCATTGCCTTCTTTCTCTAGCATGCGTCTAACCACACTTTGTTGGGTATTAGTAGAAGATTGACAGAATAGAAGTACAGACGAGTCACTGCGACAAAACAGATCTAAACCTCAAATCTCTAAAAAAATCACAAGGCAAACTCTTTTTTTTTCCAAAACACATGGAACCGCATGGGCAGCACCTGCACAATGAG